TCTTGCACTGTTCCTTCCGCCCAGAGGGCAGGTGAGATGCTGCATCCAAAGCTAAGGTCAATGTCATTACGTGGATCTCAAGGCGGGAGGGGGCCGCCCCCTGCATCTGAGGCTGGCCCCCTCCGCCTGTGTGCGTCATGTGCATTTTTCTCTCCTCCACCCTCCGAGAATGTTCTCAACGCTGTTGACTGGATACACTTCTTAAAAGATCGCTTCTTGGGGGTGACAGTACACGTGTTGTTTGACAGAACTTTTCTCATCGTAGCAGTGGAAGAAGCCGCACACTTTCCACGTTCAAACGTTTTCTACCGGTGTCGCCAAACTGGTCTACCCATGCAGCAGAGTGAAGACTCGTACAAGATATCCGTAAAATGCACACCGCGGTCTCAGGCTGCCTCGGTTTGCCTTGGGGCCACGGAGGGGAGAGGGCGTTTAACTCCACCAGCCCTCGGTTTTGCTATTTGAAACCGACCCCTCTATCTTTGTGTCTTTTAAAAGGATGTGTCTTTTTCTCTTTTCATGTGCAAACAGCGGAGTGGGGTAGCAAGTTTAGAATACCAAGGATGTTGAAGGGTGAGCACCTTCTCCCTTCTCGGCATAGCCCAAGTCAGACGGAGGCTGCGGTGGGTCTGCACTTTGCATTTTATGCACAGATCAGGGGAGTTGAACTCCATCTTGTTTATTAGCGCCCTGAGACAGCGGAATTCTGAGACGGTAGAATGGTTATTGGAGGTTGTGGTGATAGAAGAAAGATACTTTTTTTTAACATTCCTTCCATTTTTTTTTAAAAATCACTAAAAAACTACCGCGTCAGGAGAAAAATTCTGACCCTTCCCTGTCATTTCTGTACTGGTATTTTAGTTGCAGGGAATTTTTTCCATTAAAGAATTGTCCCCTCTCCCTCCCTACTAAAAGCAGTCCACCCGAATCTTACCATTTGGGGACTCTAGCACTTCATTCCCAGTTCGTGCTGCTGCTCACATTGAGCAGACCATCACGTAGTGAAGAAACGAACACAAGAAACCAAAGATTCGCCATATTCGGAAGACAGTTACATGCTTACCCACGGAAAGGTCTGTCAAAATTGCACGTGTGCTCCCCCTCGGTTGCAGTGAGCGGTGTCTGTTTGATATCCCATTCTCTCTTTTTTTTAATTTTTGTCAGCCAGAGTTTCATCCCAAGTATGTGCGTTAGTGGTGCTGTCTTTGAGAACGTCTCTTACGCCGTCACTTGTTCTGTTGTCCAGAATGCAGAACGATTACCTGCTTTTTCCCCCTCCCCCTCTAGTGGCAGATCTTTTTTGCCTGGTGAAGGATGGTTGTGGTTTAACAGTAAATATAATTTTTTTCAGTAGTTTGGCACAAGTTTTATCTAGCTGATATTGAGGGTAATAAAATCAGGAACAGGGGGGGAGGGGGGAGACTCGGTGTGGAAGGCAGCTTCAAATAATCGCAGCACCAGAGCCCTGAAAGTGAAAGAAAATGTCTTTAGTAGTGCTGGGGTGGATCCAAGCATCCTCCAAGGAATCTTCTGCCAGTCGAAGGCATCTCCCTTCCATGGAAGCTGGCAAAAGGCTTTTCAGGCTGTGGGAAGGCTTCAGGCTTGGAGTGGTGGGATGGGGGAAGGACCCACCCCTCTGTGAGGCCTTAAGTTTAAGCTCCATTGTACCTCCCTTTTACTTACTGCACAAACCTCATGCAGGCTCTTAGCAGGTAATGTGTGAATTGTGTTTTATTGTCTTCCTGTTCTGAAAAAAAAACCCAATAAAGCTACCACTGTTGTGATACATATTCTGTGTTGTCATTCCACTGTGAGATTTTGGGAAGTTGGTTGTAATGCCATCTTTTAATGGTAACGTTGGGTCAGTCTTGGTGTACTTAAACGTGCATGCTGTTTGGGATGTTTCTGAATAAATTGTAGATTTTGCAACTGTAAGAAGGAATTAAAATGGAGTTGGAACAAGCCACAATCAACAGAGATCCAAACAACAAGGGGAAAAGACTAGACTCACAGGAGTCCCAAATATACAAATTCCACTAGTAGAAAACACCATCAAAGATTGCCAAAACAATATATTAAACAATTATAAAGTTGGTGGTGTCACAACAACAACATCAGTGCATACTGTTAACTATAATAAGGCATAAGGTACAGTATTTCCTCCTTTGAAAATAAGACCTAAAGTCCACGTAGTCGGTGTAACTTAGGAGTCCACAGAGTCATAACATTTTCCAAACAGCCTTTGCAAAGACGCCCGTTCTAGATACTTGGAAGATGCATTTCCCTCGACTTCTTCAGTTTGCCGGCTGTGTAAGGGGAACCTGATTTCAGCAATTTCACTGACTGCATGGACTTTATGTCTTATCTTCAAAGGAGGAAATATTGCATCTTATGCCTTATTATAATTACGGTCAACAGGCAAGCATAAGATGGAGAATGGCCTATTTGTAGACCAGCGGAGACACATGAAATTTGTCCCGTTTTGCCCCGCCCGTCTGAGCCCTCAGATCTGCAAGAGTTCCTTCAGGTAGGAGTGGGCTTAGTACCAGCCTCAGTAAATCTGTTTGTTTGTGCTTTGATTGTACGTAGCCTCTCACTTCTTAGCCATAAGTTACAAAATTCCGGAGAGTATCAGAACAGCCTCCCCCAGTTCCCGGGGGCTTCCCTTGCGGAGGCTGGACGTTGTGCCACGCTTCCATTCAGAGGTTCCCTAAAAAAGAGTGCTCAGTTAGGTAACAGTGCTCTTAGAGGCAGGCCCCAGAGTTTCAGAAGTTTCATCCCTGTCCGTTAATAAAAAATACCTGCATCCTCCATCGAGACAAAGATGGTCCCCGGTACGAGACTCAAGCACTGAGTCAGCTCCACTTTCTAGAGAGGTCTCAAAATCGTGTCCTTATCTCTTTTGTGTGCAGAGCGCACACATGCTAGAAACGAAGTGGCACAGACTTGACGTCTGAAGGGACTCGCGTTTTCAAAACAGCCCCAAGACCCAGATCAGAAAAACCAGGGGAACTTCGTTCCCGTGAGGGAGTTCTCCATGGGGGGAAAAGAGCTCCAAATCCACCGTGTTTGGGAGATTACATTCCTGGGGTGTGTTCGTGAAGCTGCTTTTAAGTATCTGATGGGTAGAAAGCCAGGGTATAAACACTGGGAGTAAACAGTGCAAGAGAGTGCCCTCGTGGATGAGACCGGCACAGGAGTCATGGCCCTTCTCAGCACTGTGAATGGACGTTTAGGCCCGTGCGTGGAGGCAGTTCTTCAGTGGGGAGGGGCTCTTAAAAATGTTGCACCAATAGAACTCTCCCTCCCAGGACAGGAGCATTCTTGGTCATCCCATCTGCTGAGAAAGAAAAAAATGGACTTGCCATGAAATTGTTTCCTTGGTGGTGTTCATGGCGTTAGAACTGTTTGTCCCACCTGAGTTAAGAACATAAGAGAAGCCAGTGTTGGATCAGACCAATGGCCCATCCAGTCCAACACTCTGTGTCACACAGGGGCCAAAAATACCAGTGCCATCAGGAGGTCCAGCAGTGGGGCCAGGACACGAGAAGCCCTCCCACTGTTGCCCCCCCCCAGCACCAAGTACACAGAGCATCCCTTGCCCCAGACTGAGAGTTCCTACCTATACTTTGTGGTTAATAGCCACTGATGGACCTCTGCTCTTAACATAAGAACGTAAGAGAAGCCAATGTTGGATCAGGCCAATGGCCCATCCGGTCCAACACTCCGTGTCACACAGTGGCCAAAAAACACCAGGGACCATCAGGAGGTCCAGCAGTGGGGCCAGGACACGAGAAGCCCTCCCACTGTTGCCCCCCCCCAGCACCAAGTACACAGAGCATCCCTTGCCCCAGCCTGAGAGTCCCTATCTATACCTTGTGGCTCATAGCCACTGAGGGACCTCTGCTCCATATGCTTATCTAATTCCCTTTTGCAGCCGTCCATGCCTGTAGCCGCCGCCACCTCCTGTGGCAGTGAGTTCCATGTGTTAATCACTCTGGGTGAAGAAGTCCTTCCTTTTATCTTGTCTGAAGGTGGGATATTTCGCATTGGTATCATTGAGGTTAGGGACTCCCTCTGGACCCTTTCATGTCCTGAAGAGCCCTGTGGTGTTTTTTTTCTATGGCCTTTCTGATTCTGATACTCTAACATTGTTGATCGCTGACTTATGAAGAGTTTAGAGTTTTTAGCTTGCTGGTATGCATTTTGGGAACGAGGAAGAGAAGGAGACTCCTCCATTTGTGTTCTGTTTGACAAAGCTTTCCTGTAGGAACAGGTGGAGCTTTATTCCAAATAAACTGCTCTACCACCACCACCAAGAACAGAACTTCACAGCAAGTCCAATTTTTCTCATTACGTGTGCTCGTTAGCCAGAAATTACACCCCTTTTTCGTCTGCAGTTATTCCTGCTTTTCCAGGTATATGATTGGGTCCCACGTAGCTTTCCTTTGTCCCCGTCCCTCTCGCAGCCCCTTCTAATCCTGGGAAAGTCTTCATTGTTGAGGATGTGGGACCTGCAGGAGGTGGGACTGAACTCTGCAGATGGAAAAGGGAGGAGAGGGCAGTTTCGTCGACTTCCTCCTCCCCAATGCAGCCTCCAGACCTCTTTGGTTATTCACGTCTGCTGGTCCCACGTGCTGGAGAATCACTTTTCTCAGAACTGGGAAGGCCTGTTGAGGCTCAAGGGGTAGTTTTTAGTTATTGTGCTCACAGATTAAGGAGCCCAAGTTTACATTTGCTGCAGAGAGATAAATATTTTCACTTATCAAGATCGCTTTAGGAAACAGCAAGAGCTCAGTAGCACCTGAAAAACTAACACAGCCTGTGGTAGGGGAGGAGCTTTCATGAGTCACTGCTCACTTCTTCAGATAAAGCTAGAGTGTGAGTCCATCTGTCCTTATATCTTGGAGAGTTGAGTGATTCCAGATGCCGAATGACAATAGCAGGCATGATTGAACTAGGTGTGATATGCAAAGGGGTCGTAGGCATGGAGAAATCAATGGTAATGAGACAGGCAACCTAGATCTCGATTCAGTCCAGGAGGATGCATTGTCTTGAGCCTCATTATTTTGTTAGTCATGGTCTCCAAGCCGCGCAGTTGGCCAAGCCACATGGGCAAAGACATTCCTGAGCGTGGCTTGGGAAGAGCCTTAGAGAGGGGGGGTACCTGTAGCTCTCCAGGCTGCAGATAAATGTTACCCAGGAGGCTGTTGCAGCACCTGAATGCTGAATAGGCACAATTACCTGGGATTCTCTGCCCTTCCCAATAGCCATAACTCATTTATGTTTATCACCTTCTGCTCACTATCTCCCCAGTTCCATTTATATTTTTTATGAACATCCAACCCAAAATAGTCAAAACCCAACAGAGTTCTTCAGTAGGAGAGTTCTACGTTACCCTCTCACTGCCCCCACTATGAGTACAATATAGAAGAAGATACACCTACAAAGCCTCAGCGTGGGCTTCTGGAAGGCAGGCTAATATTCGCCCTGCTCAGGTGACCCATCCACATGTTAGCAGGCTATGGGGGAGGGACAGCAGAGGAAAACATCCTGTGCCCCCCTCCCCCTCAACCGCGATGGCCAGCTCTGGAGCACCGCGGCCACGTGTGGAGGAAGGGTCTATATATACGCTCCCATCCCATGATCTGCAACCTTTGGGAAGCATCAACATCTCTGCCCATGGGAAAGACCCATATGTGCGGAGACTTCTTCCACAGGTAGGTGGAACGGTCATGAGACAGCGACTGTGTAGCGGCTGGGGGGTGGCCCCAGCAGGCAGATGGGCCGTTTGTACGGGGCTTGAGCCAAAACCGAACCAGGGTAGGATGTCTCCTTCATGACTCTGTGGGCCACGGATTCCTCCAAAGGGGAGGACTCTGAAACATCTTCTGTGGTGACCATCAATGACCACCTTTCTTCTTGGGTCTCCTAGGTGATTCTCCCAGACCTGGCCGTCTTGAGGATAGCTGTTTACGATGATAACAACAAACTGATTGGCCAAAGGATATTGCCTCTGGATGGCCTTCAGGCAGGCTACCGACACATTTCCCTTCGGAACGAAGGCAACAAGCCCCTGTCTCTGCCTACCGTCTTCTGCAACATTGTGCTCAAAACATACGTGCCAGATGGTTTTGGAGGTAAAAGCAACTGAACTAGTACATAAGGATATAAGCAAAGCCCTGCTGGGCCAGACCAGGGAGGGTCCATCCAGTCCAGCCTCCCATCTCACACAGGGGCCAGCCAGTTCCTCTGGAGGGCCAGCAACAGGGCAGA